CATGTAAATGTATCTCGGACAAGTTTTCATAAACCTAACATCTGCCTCATGCCCTGGGAAGGCTGATGGCAACTTATAGCAAGAGCTGAGAGTTTTCCTGGGAGGGTGGGAGTCACATCATCCACCAGGCAGCTGTGTGTGATGACATCCTGTACTTGCGTGGGAGGTAATTTTATCTTTGATTACCTGTAACAAGGCCAAATATAGGATCAAAACTCACATCCCAGAGTGACTAAGAAATGGAGCTACAAACAGTACTGACTTTCCTGGACATTTTAAATCCTGCTGGTGCAGTGGCACGCACCTGTAATCCCAGCACTTTGGGAGGCTGATGTGGGAGGATCGGTGGAGCCCAGAGTTTGAGACCAGCCTGGCCAATATAGTGAGATCCTGTCCAAATTAAAACAAAAATCCTATTGGGTATGTACTGTCACCAAGTAATTGGTCCCTGCCTGTAAAGTCCCTACATGCCCCATGTGTAAACTTCCAACAAAAATAATGTGAGTCAAACTAAAATAATTGTTTTTGTTCATTTGTTTTTTAAGAAACATGATCTTGCTCTGTTGCCCAGACTGGGCTCAACAACTTGGGCTCATGCCTGTAAGCCCAGCACTTTGGGAGGCCAAGGCAGGTGAATCAGTTTAAGTCAGGAGTTTGAGACCAGCCCGGCCAACATGGTGAAACCCCGTCTCTACTAAAAATACAAAAATTGATCGAGCATGGCTGTATGCACCTGTAATCTCAGCTACTCGGGAGGCTCAGGCAGGAGAATCACTTGAACCCAGGAGGCGGAGGTTACAGTGAGCCAAGATTGTGTCACTGCACTCCAGCCTAGTTGACAGAGCAAGACTCCGTCTCAAACAAACAAAAAAGAAGTCTCTTGACCCACCTGCCTTTCCCACAGGATACAGACTACACCTGAAGACAGCACAATAGGTGCATATCTGCTGCCCCTGGTGATGCTCACTGCCCTACCCTGGCACAGGGAAGGCTGGGGAGGTGGCCATTCTTTCTAGAGGAGAAACCCAGCTTCAGTGGGATTGAGTCCCAGGAGTGAGAGGGAAACAGGAACGAGTTCACCCTGAGTCCAAGATGGCCTTGGGCCCGCCAGTCCGGTGTTCAGCAGGCATTTGTTGAGGGGACGGTCTGGGGACCCTGGTTGCCTGCTCACCTCCCTCACCCCAACACAAAGCTGCCAACCCTGGACTTGACACATTCTCTCAGAATGTGCAGGAAATGGGAAAGGAGTCTTAATTCAACATTTCAAGATCAACCAGATAACTCAGACAAATAAAATCTAAAGCTCAGGGCAGGATACGGACTACTCGAGGTGGTGCTTTAACAAGAGATGCTGGATTCTCTTTCCCTGTGGCACAAACTGGGGCAACGCAAGCAAAAGTCCCACCACCAGCCTGAGGATCTGTGCAGCTAACAAAGGCTACAGAGCGCCCCCAAGCAGAGCGCCACAGCTTTTGGATGGCCACGCTGCAGGGAGATGGCTCACACTTAAGACAGGACGCCCCCGCTACCCATGCATCCCCCGGGGGGTTGGACTGGGGGGATTGCTGCTCCCATTAGAAAGGAGAGGAAACCAGGGCCAGGCACGGTAGCTCACGCCTGATTGGGAGGCCGAGGTGGGCAGATCACTTGAGGTCGGAAGTTTAAGACTAGCTTGGTCAACATGGTGAAACCCCATCTCTACCCAAAATACAAAAGTTAGCTGAGCCCAGGCATGGTGGCTCACACCTATAATCCCAGCACTTTGGGAGGTGGAGGCGGGCGGATCGCTTGAGGTCAGGAGTTCAAGACCAGCCTGGCCAATGTGGCAAAACCCCATCTCTACTAAAACTACAGAAATTAGCCAGGTATAGTGGCAGGCGCCTGTAATCTCAGCTACTTGGGAGGTTGAGACAGGGAGAACTGCTTGAACCTGGGAGACAGGCTGCAGTAAGCTGAGATCGTGCTACTGTACTCTAGCCTGGGAAGGAAACTCCATCTTGAAAAAAAAAATTAGCTTGGCATTGTGGCACATGCCTGTGGTCCCAGCTACTTGGGAGGCAGAGGTGGGAGGACTGCTTAAGCCTGGGAAGGCAGATGTTGTAGTGAGCCAAGATCGTGCCAGTGCATTTAGCCTGGGTGACAGAGTGAGACCCCATCTGGAAAAAAAAAAAAAAAAAAAAGAAAGAAAGGAGAGGAAACTGCAGTTAAAGGCAGGCTGCCTCAGCCCAGTTCTGTCCTGCCTCTGCCATGAGTCCCCACATCTCTGCTTGTGACCTCCTTGTACCCACTGCCTGTCTGATCCATTTCAGGCTCAGTTGGATACTGACATTGATTTGTTAATGATTTTGCAGGCAGAACACAGGGGCTTAGCCAAAACCTGCCCATCCACAGCAACCAGGACCCCCAGGCCATCCCTGCGCTCACACACCCATCCCCTCAAGGAACATCTGCTGAACAGCGGAGGGCCCAAGGCCATTCCAGACTCAGGATAGGCTCGTTCCTGTTTCCCTCTCACTCTTGAGACTCAATCCCATGGAAGCCGGGTTTCTCACCTAGAGAAACCTCCCGTGAAGCCCAAATACACACCTTAGAGACCTGCACAACTTGAGCCAGCTGAGCCAGGAAGGGGCACGAGCTGTGCTGGAGGTGGGAGGCCCAGGCAGGGCTGGCTCCAACAGTGCAGAACCCGGCATGACGCCTGTTCACTCTGAAGCCTGCCACAGTGCAGGAGCCTTCCTGGAGAGGCTGGCAAGGGCCGTGTAAGGGAACCAGTCCTGCTTCTCACCCAAACAGTGCAGGTGAACACGGCCTCCCACAGTGCTCAGGATTCAGGTGTAGGGAGAACACACATCATGCGCTAGACTTTCTACCCGCAGAGGGGGAACTAGCAGCATTTTCCAGTTAGTCTGGGGAGGAGCTGCTGGAGAAAGACTCAGGACCAGTAGGGTCTCTGAACAAATGAAAGGCTTCCCAGGGCAGGCGGCAGGTCAGCCAGCACCAGAGTTCAGGCCTCTCTCAGCCTCAGCCTGGTCTGATCAGTCAGTGTCAGTGACATGGAGAGGAGGGTGTTCTCAAGAAGCCAGACGGTGACTGGTGGGTCCAAAAGGCAGTGGGGAGGCCCAAAGCACAAAGAGCAAACATCACCCAGACAACCCCAAGCCTTGGAACAGAACTCGCTTCTTTCAGTTGAGTTAATGTTCAGAGGCCTTTTCAGGCAAAAGAATGGGTGACGTCTACTCAGCACCCTGTAGGAGCCCTTGGGGCTGAGGGCACCGGCCACTGCCAGGCGGCCTAGGACAATACTTGCTTTACAGTGGCAAGAGGCTCTCTTCGTCAGCTGGGAGCATACAGACTGCAATGCAGCCAGGAGCTTGGGGAGAAGGCAGAGAAGCCCTTCTCTTCTTGCTTTCTTTTTTGTTTTTTTTCTTTTGAGACAGTCTTGCTCTGCCACCCAGGCTGGAGTGCAATGGCATGGATCTCAGCTCACTGCAACCTCTGCCTTCTAAGTTCAAGTGATTGTTGTGCCTCAGCCTCTCAAGTAGCAGGGATTATAGGCGTGCGCCACCACACCCAGCTAATTTTTGTATCCTTAGTAGAGATAGGGTTTCACTATGTTGGCCAGGCTGGTCTTGAACCCCTGACCTCAGGTGGTCCACCCGCCTCGGCCTCCCACAGTGCTGGGATTACAGGTGTGAGCCACCGTGCCCAGTGCTCTTCTTGCTTTGTTTCTCCCCCTCCTCCATTTTTTTTCCTCTTGGTGAGTACATGTGGATCAGTTCTCAAACATTAAATGCTTACGCAATTCAAGTCTACTATAGAACCAAATGCTGGTTGTAAATTTAAAAACTCGGAAACCTTATAACCAGGAAGTTCCAGAGTCAGTCCTGCTGAGTCAGTCCTGCTGAGTCAGTTCTGATGTAAGCGCAGGGCTCACCCAGGGCCGGGGGAGCCATCTGCACAGTTCCACCTTCAGGTAAACCATACCTATGCTGCCTGATCCACCAAGAATCTATCAGAGAGAAATCTAATGTTGTGGGCTTATTTTATTATTTCTTAGAACATGAATGAATTATTTACAAACAGCACTACATTCTCTCCATCCCTTCCTCCCTCCCTCCCTCTCTCTCTCTCTCTCTCTCTCTCTCTTTTCTTTCTTTTGAAACAGAGTCTCACTCTGTTGCCCAGGCTAGAGCGCAATAAATAGTGTGATCTTGGCTCACTGCAACCCCTACCTCCCAGGTTCAGGCAATTGTCCTGCCTCGGTCTCCCAAGTAGCTGGGACTATAGGCATACACTGCCATGCCCAGCTAATTTTTTTTGTATTTTTAGTAGAGATGGGGTTTCACATGTTGGCCAGGTGGTCTCGAACTCCTGATCCACCCACCTCGGCCCCACAAAGTGCTGGGATTATAGCCACTGTGCCTGGCCTACAAATAGCACATTTTTTAGCCTACTCTGTAGCCAAAAAAGGGAGATACAGAGAAAAGCAGGAGCTTCAGGGTGCAGGTCCTCCTGGATCTGGCTGAGCTGAAGGACAGCTGGCACCTGTGTGCTGAGCCGCTCTCCTCTGCCAGGCACTGTCCTGAGGAGACGCACAAATGCGGCGCCGACCCCGTCGTAGGGAACACCCGTCTTTCCAGCTCTTAAGGCTACAGAGCTATGACCCACATTCAGACAGACAGACAGGGGCAGCTGCATCACCAGTATCCTTCACGCTGCTCTCAGCAAATGGCCCCTTAACCTGAGAACACACGCCCTCCTGGGGTTCTGACAGCCCTGCAAACTCTAAGGGGCAGGGAAGGGACAAAACCCAGAGCCTGTCTAGTGTGGAGCAGCAGCCAAGTGAGCTCCTGAAATCCAGCAACTTATAAATAACCTCTCAGAACTCTCACAAGTTGAACACAGGCTGGGCAGTTTTTTTCTTTTTGTTCGATGTCATGTTCTGATGCAGTCTGAGGGCAGTCAGGGCTCCGGCAGGCATACTCACGAAACGGCCGTACCTAGCTGGGAGAGGTCCAGCCTGGTCCAGTGCATGCCCGTGGGGCAGCTCTTGGAGAGCGTCCTGATGAACACCTGGCCGAGGCTATCCAGCGCCCACAGTGCATCCTGGCAGGCGGCGTAGGCGCGCATCTCGGCGTCGGGAGGCAGCTGCACTGTAGAGGGCCGTGACTGTGCACTCTGGGCGCTGACGCTGCATAGGTCCTTGCTGCTCTGGCACAACCACAGGGAGCTCCCTGCAAAAAGGGATCATGTTTGTTATCATGAGCTGTCTGCACCGAGCCACCCACCCTAAATGCATAGGCAGCCTGGCCGTGGTGCTGCTCATTCACCTGCCTGTTCCCATGCAGGCAGGAGTGGTCTAGCACTTTAAGAAGTAGAAGTCAGAGGCAAACACCACAACTAACAAGAAACAGGCCTGAGATGTTTGAAAGAAACGGAAAGAAGGCAGGGCTTAGGAGATTTTATGAAGGCCGTAATGTTGGCTTACTGGTTCTGGCCTCCCATTTTCATGGGCTGGGAAGTTTTTCACTTGAACAAAGGCACCAGAGCATTTTTAATACAGGATGTTAATTTTGCCGAGAAGAGAAGGCTATCAACTCAGTGCCCTGCAAGAGGGAGGGTTGGCAGTTCCTAGGGAGGATGGTGCCAAGATGCTCTCCTAGGCCTCCTGGTGATGGGGCCGCAGGGTAGGCCACCTGCTGGAGAAGGCTTAGGAAGCTGGAAATGCTTCTCTTTCCATCATTACCTCAAAATCATGTCTTTTCATTCCCTCCAGCATTTAAAAAAAGTCCTTTAGGTATAACAGATTCTGTTTAAAATGCAAATAATCCTTAGGGCAGTTAAAAGCTCATGGTACATTATCTGAAGTATTATCTATAACTTGCAGCCACACATGTTTTGGAATTCAAACCTTTTCTGGATTTTTGAAAACCTTAGCTAATGGGTATGCCACTGGTTTACAAAACAACCATGAGGGCCAGGCGCTCCCCAGTGAGGCGCGGTAACATCCCTGCGGCAACACGGGTATAGTCACAGCCAACAGACCCACTGAGGCTGGAGGCAGCCCTGTGTGAGATCCAGTCAAGTTTGGCTGCCAAATTAATTTATGCCAAACTCAAGAAATAATTTATTATTTTCAGAGATTTCTAGGTTTCAGAACTGTGGTCCGAACAATCTGGTAAGAAGTTACTGTACTGACCCAATGACCTGCATCCTAGTGGGACTAATGGTTTGAACTAACCAAACGATTCCCTCTTAGTCACAGATTTCACAGCGTCTTCGCGTTTAATCCTCAGTGCAATCCTGGGAGGAGGTACAGCTACTTCCCAGAGAGGTCCTCTGACTGCCTGGGCTCCCAGCTAACTGGGTGGGGGAACTGCCTCTCCTGGCCACAGATGCCAGCTCCCCACCCTCCCGTGCTCTGGCTCCCAGACAAACCCCATGCTCTGTAAGGGACACTAAGTTCTGCCCAGGAATGTGGGCAGGTCTGCCTAATGGGGTACAAATGTGGGACTTAGGTGATCCAGAGTCTGTGAACAAGATGGAAAGAGGCTGCTGGGAGGTAACAGAATGACTCTGAAGGGGAGATGGGAAGGTGCCTGAAGAAGCTGTGGCCCCTGCCATGTGCTGCTGGAAGTCACCAGTTGCTGGCCCTGGTGTCCACAGTGTGAGCTCTTCCTTCAGAAGGATACTTTCCCTCGTCTTCACAATGCTCGGTCCCTCTCAGCGGCTCTCTTGGTCAGGACTATGCCCTTCAGGGCCCTAGGCTCAGCTAACAAGGGCTACGGGCCTGTGACACCCCTACATGGTTGGTCTCAGGCGTGCCCCATCACTAATGAGGCCACAGTTGGATCGTGGTTTGAACCTTTCCAACGGTGAAGCTGTGCTCTAGATTTCTCAGCGAGGCTAAGACTGACCCACCTTCCTTTGTGGGAGCCGCAGAAGCCAACACAAAGGCCCATTTTGTGGCAGAAGCTGTCCCACGGGGAACAACATGATGCCAGTAAGTGCCTGGAAAGAGTAAACGGGAAGAATGTGTTAGAGAAAGAAAACAGACAAGACCACTTCAGGGCCTAGTTCTAGACCACAGCTGGCCTTCAAACTCCTTCTCCAGATAATTCTAGAGTGTCCCTAAATTCAGTGACATGAGCCATCAGAGCCTGCCATTCATTTCCCTCTGAACGCTGCCAGGCAGAGCCACATCTAGCCCAGGAGTGGGGAGGTCACACAGCAGGGAGACAGTTGGAGAAAATTCACAAAGCAAGGGCTTGACTCACAGAAACAAACCCCAGGATGCATGGACCAGCGTCTACACTCACAGACCTGGCCAGAGCCCTGCATTTCCAGCAGTGGCCACCACCTTCCCTCCAGGAAATGGTCCACTCTCTCTCACTAGGCTCTTTAGGTTCAGGTGGATTTTTTCATTTAAAATGTGAAACTGTTAACATAAAAATGACCTCCATTTGCTTTTCTTACGTCATGAAAGGTTTCCAGGGAAAACACACTCTCCAGACTCAGAGATCCAAGTTTTAGGAATGACAGATTTTTTAAAAAGGAGAGAAACTGATCACAAAGCATAAGAGGGCCCCACTAGACACTTCATACCGCTGGCACTAACTTAGCTTTTCAAGTTGAGATCTTTAAGCTTTCCTTAAATGCTGGCTTTAAAGTGAGGCTGCCTATAAAGCCAGTGTGAAATATACAGCAATTCACCCACCAATGAGACTTCCCTTAGCCACGTGGAATTCATTCTTGCCCGAGGAGATCCAGACGCCGCTGTTATTGACCCCGAGAAGGCTTGGCTGGCACTGAAGCTGCTGGGACCAAAATGCCATGCGCAGCTTATCTGCCACCTTTTCTACGGGGGCTTGGGCTGCTGTGGCCACCGAGTGAGTGGCATGGATTATTGTCTGAAATAAGCTGCACTGGTCAAACACCACATAGTCTGTGATGCTCACCTGGAAGGAGACAAGCAAAAACCTTGAGTCAGAGCAACTACAGCGTAGACTCTCTGCCTTGAGGGAAGGTTCCGGCCCAGGCCCTCACCTCTGCATTTCTAGTAATGAGATGACCATCCAGACACAAATGTGCACATGTGCACTTGTGGAAGGACCAAAAACACGTGACAGGATGCCAACAAACCGCTAACTCTAACTCCAGCTCCTTCGTAGCGGTGGATTTAAAGTATGGAAGAATATATTCACATTTTAGACACTTTTATATAACGTGGATCTTTTACAAGCATGTATTACATTTGTGATTAAGTATCACCGCCCCACACACCCCTTCTAAGAAGACTTTCATTCTAATCAGAGTGAGAAAGAATAATTTTGCCATCTTTTCTGAGACAGTCTTGCTCTGACATCCAGGCTGGAGGGCAGTGGCACAATCATACTCAGCCTTGATTTCCAGGATCAAGCAATCCTCCCACCTCAGTCTCCCAAATACAGGTGAATGCCACCACACCTAGACAATTTTTTTTTTTTTTTTTTTGAGACAGAATCTTGTTCTTGTCACCCAGGCTGGAGTGCAATGACACAATCTCAGTTCACTGTAACCTCTGCCTCCCGGGTTAAAGCAATTCTCCTGTCTCAGCCTCCCAAGTAGCTAGGATTATAGGCATGTGCCACCATGCCCAGCTAATTTTTGTATTTTTTGGAAGAGACAGGGTTTCACCATGTTGGCCAGGCTGATCTCGAACTCCTGACCTCGTGATCCGCCCGCCTCAGCCTCCCAAAGTGCTGGGATACCAGGCATGAGCCACTGCACCCAGCCCACCTAGCCAATTTTTAAATTTTTTGCATAACTATCAAATATTTCCTAGTATATTAAATTAGACATATCTATATACAATGTATATGTTATATACAACACATCTCAAAGAGCAAACACAACTCATTTTCTACATTCTCATCTGAAAGACCTCCGAACAGTCAATGCAAGACAAGCCTTCAACAAAGCAAGTCTGAGGCTGGATGCAGTGGCTCAAGCCTGTAATCCCAGCACTTTGGGAGGCCGAGGCGGGTGGATCACGAGGTCGAGAGATCGAGATCATCCTGGTCAACATGGTGAAACCCCGTCTCTACTAAAAGTGCAAAAAATTAGCTGGGCATGGTGGCACGTGCCTGTAATCCCAGCTACTCAGGAGGCTGAGGCAGGAGAATTGCCTGAACCCAGGAGGCGGAGGTTGCGGTGAGCCGAGATCGCGCCATTGCACTCCAGCCTGGGTAACAAGGGCGAAACTCTGTCTCAAAAAAAAAAAAAAAAAAAAAGAGAGATCGAGACCATCCTGGTGAAACCTCGTCTCTACTAAAAATACAAAAAAAAAAAATTAGCTGGGCATGATTACACGTGCCTGTAATCCCAGCTGCTCAGGAGGCTGAGGCAGGAGAATTGCCTGAACCCAGGAGGCGGAGGTTGCAGTGAGCCAAGATCGCGCCATTGCACTCCAGCCTGGGTAACAAGAGCGAAACTCTGTCTCAAAACAAAAACAAAAACAAAAAACAACAAAGCAAGTCTGAGGTGACAATACAACGTAAACCAATGGGACAAGGTACTTAAAAAACACCAAATATGGCCCGGCCATGGTGACTCACACCTGTAATCCCAGCACTTTGGGAGGCTGAGGAGGGCGGATCACAAGGTCAAAAGATCGAGACCATCTGTGGTGAAACCCCATCTCTACTAAAAATACAAAAATTAGCCGGGCATGGTGACACACACCTGTAGTCCCAGCTACTCAGGAGGCTGAGGCAGGAGAATTGCTTGAACCTGGGAGGTGGAGGCTGCAGTAAGCTGAGATGGCGCCACTACACTCTAGCCTGGCAACAGAGCGAGACTCCACCACAAAAAAAAAGAGAAAAAAAAGAAGAAACATCAAATATTTCACGGCTATTGACTATCAGTGCAATCCTTACCTACCGCAGTGGGAGACTGTGGGGGCTACGCTAACACTAAACAATGCCAAAGATGGGAAAGAAGACACTCCTTTGAAAATCCATTGTAGGTCAAGGGTGGTAGTTCACGCCTATAATCCCAGTGCTTTGGGAGGTCAAGGCGGGAGGATTGCTTGAGCCAAGGAGTACAAGACCAGCCTGGTCAACACCAAGACCTTGCCTCTACCAAAATAATTAGCCATTCGATGCAGAAGATCTCACCACAGAAAAAAAAAAAAAAAAAAAAAAAAGTAAAAAAGAAATAAAAAGAAACAAAATAATTAGCCAGGCATGGTGGCATGTGCCTGTGGCCCCAGCTACTTGGGAGGCTGAGGTGGGAGGATGACTTCAGCCCAGGAGTTGGATGCTACAGTGAACAGTGAACCCGCCACCGAACTCCAGTATGGGCAAAAGAGTGAGACCCTGCCTCAGAAAAAAAAGAAAAGAAAAAGAAAAGAGAAATCCATTCTAGGTGCTCTTGCTGGGACCAAATCACACAAAGTTAGCTTGAGGATATCCTCATCCTGTTTCTTAAAGTGCTTCCTTTTCTGGAAGCATGTGGAAAAATTCCCCTTTCTTTGCTGAAATATCATTTACTTAGAGGCCTTCTTAATAAGCAGAGATAGCTCAATTTTAATTTTGGGTTAGGCTTTCAAACCTATTGTTTGGGTTTTTTTCTTAGTACATTTGTTCATAATTAAACATTATTATTACCTTGGTCTTCAAATGGATGTCACTGGCTTTATTTAGTCTATAATAAATTTATAAATAATATCAAAATAAAGTGCATTATTTATACAAAGAGTTTTGCAAATTATCTCCTATGATGAAAGTGCTTGATGTTTCTAATATACTCAAACACAGCAGAGGCTAATCCATCAAATAGAAAAAGTGAATACTATTGGCTGGGCGTGGTGGCTCGGCCTGTAATCCCAGTACTTTGGGAGGTGGAGGCAGGCGGATTCTTTTCTCTTTTTTTTTTTCTGAGACAGGGTCTAGCTCTGTCACCCAAATTGAATTGTGGTAGTATGATCTTGGCTCACTGAAACTTCTGCCTCCTGGGCTCAAACCATCCTCCCACCTCAGCCTCCTGAGTAGCTGGGACCAAAGGTGTGTGCCACCATGCCCAACCAATTTTTGTATTTTTGGTAGAGATGGGGTTTCACCATGCTCCCCAGGCTGGTCTTGAACTCCTGGACTCAAGCGATCTGCCTGCCTTGGCCTCTCAAGTTGCTGGGATTACAAGCTTGAGCCACTGTGCCCGGTTTGGGTCTGGGTGGATCTCTTGGGCTCAGGAGTTTGAGACCAGCCTGGACAACATGGCAAAACCCTGTCTCTACAAAAAAATACAAAAAACTAGCTGGGCGTGGTGGTGCACGCCTATAGTCCCAGCTACTTGGGAGGCTGAGGTGAGAGAATCACCTGAGCCCGGGAAGTCAAGATTGCAGTGAGCTGTATTACGCCACTGCACTTCTGCCTGGGTGACGGAAGGAGATCTTGTTTCAAAACAAACAATAAAAACGTGAATATTTTAAATTTAATCCAGTATCTTTAAGGAACAGAGACAGGTAAGAAAAGGGGAAGCAGAAAAGGTCAAGGAGAGCTCAGCACGTGGCCCGGAGCTGAACACCTACTTGCCACCAGTGGTCGTCATCTCCTTGTGGCTTCTTGGAAACAATGCCAGTTCTGAACCACAGGTTCCCACGGATGTCCAGGGCCCAGAGTGTCTGCTGATCCCCAAGCGTTATGCAGATGGGTTCTAAAGCTTGCCTTTCACTGAAAATAAGGAGGAGAACAGGGGGTCAGCACCCACAGGCAGAGTGCCCAGAGTGTAGGCATAGCTGTGAGAAGAGATGTGACCCTGGAACAGGTCATCAAGTGCCAGGGAAGGAAGTTTGAGTCTGAGTTAAATTACTATGCAAGATAAATGGTTCACATGGGTGGCAGCTTCTGAAAGACACACCGATGATGACCCAGAATGGCCAGAAAACTCTTTTTTTTTTCTTTTTTTTTTTTTTTTTGAGACGGAGTTTCGCTCTTGTTACCCAGGCTGGAGTGCAATGGCGCGATCTCGGCTCACCGCAACCTCTGCCTCCTGGGTTCAGGCAATTCTCCTGCCTCAGCCTCCTGAGTAGCTGGGATTACAGGCACGTGCCACCATGCCCAGCTAATTTTTTGTATTTTTAGTAGAGACAGGGTTTCACCATGTTGACCAGGATGGTCTCGATCTCTCAACCTCGTGATCCACCCGCCTCGGCCTCCCAAAGTGCTGGGATTACAGGCTTGAGCCACCGCGCCTGGCCCAGAAAACTCTCGAGAGAAAATAATCAAAGAAAAAAGTGAGTAGGGACAAAAAGAATCCAAGGCCCCTGAGTGCCTCCATTTCTCTAGGGGAGTGACTCATCAGGGGAGTGACTGTCAACTCCCCCGATGTGCCAGGCTATTCTGTGCAGCTGGACCTAGGCGGACATTGGCCTCTCTGCTAGAGACGTTCTCTCCCTCCTTCCATATGGGGAAGTCCTCATCAGCTTCAAGGCTTAGCTGTGGGTCCACTCCCCATGCTGCCTTCCTGACCGCTGCATGGAGTCCTTGGTTCCCTCGGGGCTGCACACTCCACGCTCCTGTTTAGGGCCATCTATGCTAATGGGTGTCTTTCCATGCATGGCGCCCCCCATGAGATCTGGAACTGGTGACAGAAGGGCCAGTCTCAGCCCTCTTGGCACACCCTGCCCCTAGCACCATTCTAGCTTTTTTTTTTTTTTTTTTTTTTTTGAGACCAAGTATTGCTCTTGTTGCCCAGGCTGGAGTGCAATGGTGTGATCTCAGCTCACTGCAGTCTCCACCTCCCCGGATCAAGCAATTCTCCCATCTCAGGTTCCCAAGTGGCTGGGACTACAGGCACCCACCACCACAGCCAGCTCATTTTTGTATTTTTAGTGGAGACAGGGTTTCACCATGTTGGTCAGGCTGGTCTCAAACTCCTGACCTCAGGTGATTCACCCGCCTCTGCCTCCCAAAGTGCTGGGATTACAGGTGTGAGTCACAATGCCCAGACCATTCTGGCTCTTAATAGGTATTCACTATAAGTTTACTGGGTTGCTAGATTCAAACCACGAATATCCTAATCTAGTTTTTCTAAGGACTATTAATATTTCCATATTAGTAAAATGATCTGATGGCAATTCTATAACATCTTGAATGGTAAAAAAATAGCTTAAATCATAGTTCAGAGATCAGGCCAGGCACAGTGGCTCATGCCTGTAATCCCAGCACTATGGGAGGCTGAAGAAGGAGAACTGCTTGAGCCCAAGAGTTCGAGATCAGTCTGGGCAACATGATGAAAACCTGTCTCTACAATAAATATAAAAATTAGCTGGGCATGGTGGTGTGCACCTGTAGTCCCAGCTACTCAGGAGGTTGAGACGAGAGGATCATCTGAACCCGGAAGGTCAAGGCTACAGTGAGTTGTGATCATGGCACTGCACCCCAGCCCGGGTGACAGAGTGAGATCAAAAAAAAAAAAAAAGAAAGAACGGGTATGGTGCCTCACGCCTGTAATCCCAGCACTTTGGGAGACAGAGGCAGGTGGATCACGAGGCCAGGAGTTCAAGACCAGACTGGCCAACATGGTGAAACCCCATCTCTACTAAAAAATACAAAAATCAGGCTGGGCATGGTGACTCATGCCTGTAATCCAAGCACTTTGGAGGCCAAGGCAGGCAGATCACCTGAGGTCGGGAGTTCAAGACCAGCCTGATCAACATGGTGAAACCCCGTCTTAAAAAAAAAAAAAAAATACAAAAATTAGCTGGGCATGGTGGCTCGTGCCTGTAATCCCAGCTACTTGGGAGGCTGAGGTAGAATTGCTTGAACCGGGATCCGGGAAGCGGACTTTGCAGTGAGCCGAGATCGCACCACTGTACTCCAGCCTGGGCTACAGAGCGAGACTCCACCTCAAAAAAAGAAAAAAGTTACAGTTTAGAGATCAATTTCAATTGACTAGCATGAAAATAAAAAAAACATTTGGAGCTAAGACATCACAGACACTAAACCAGAACTACCTGGTGGCGAGCAGTTCTGAGTAGAGACCGTCATGACAGACTCATGACGCCATGATGGTCAGGGCTGCACAGACAGCAGCATTTTAAAAAATTTAGCTCTGACTCAATGTCCAGTTTGCTGGTCAGAATTAGCAGAGTTTCTCTAAGGTCATGCTGCAGAAATCACCTCTGGTGATTCAAGATTAGCCTATAGCCATGGAAGCTGCGGGTGCTGCCTCCCAGGAAAGGCCCACCCAGGATCGGCCTTGTGGTGCCTTGCCGAGTCAAGCAGACAAGAACGAAGGGTAAGACAAGCAAGATGCTGAAGGAGTCTCCGGCCACCAGTACCTGACAATGTCACACTTCCACTGCTCGCCTTCCGGACAGAAGCTGCTCACGCCCTCCCGGTACAGGAGGGCCCTCTGCTCCGTCAGCGCCCACACCACGTTGTCCCGGGCTGTGATCTGGGACAGGGGGTAGGGACAGTCCACCTTCATGGCTCTGGCACAGGGGCGATCCACGCTGAGAGCTGCCAGGAAGACGGGAAGAAGCCCCCAAAGACACACAGTCAGACTCCACACCTCATTTTGACTTAGTTATTGGTTTTTATTTTTCCTTTTCTGGTATTTTGCTATGTTCTTTCACAATGAGAGCTTTTTAAAACACTTTAATTAACTTTTTCTTTTTTCTTTTTTTTTTAAGATGGGGTTTCACCATGATGGCCAGGCTGGTCTTGAACTCCTGACCTCAGGTGATCCACCCACCTCAGCCTCCCAAAGTGCTAGGATTACAGGCATGAGCCACTGCGCCTGGCTTAAAAAAACTTTAATTAATTAATTAATTAATTAAAAATACAGACAGGGTCTCTCTATGTTGCCCAGGCTGATCTCAAACTCCTGGGCTCAAGAAATCCTACAGCCTCAGCCTCCCAAAGTGCTGGGATTACAGGCGGGAGCTGCCCTGTTCAGCCACTTTTTCATTGTCAAGTTCCGTCAACATAAAGTGGTTAAATTCTGCCTAAATGTATTATCTATCTGCAAGCAGTTTTAGACCCTCTTTGAAAACTGAACAGTTCAGAATTCTGTGGTGTCCCAATGTAGCACAAGAAGTTGTGAGAGAAGAACACAAAAGCTAAGATCAGGAGAGCGGCCAGATGGAGGCCAGAGGCCACAGGGCAGAGCAGATCTTCCAGGCAGAGGCTGCGGCATGGCTGGAGTCAGCAGGGACCTGAGGCCTGCGGCCATCCCTGCAGGGAGCTCCACCACGGTGGCTCCCCTCTGCTCTGACTGGGTGCAGGGCTCCACTAATAAAACGAAAACCCCAAATCTCCCAGATGAAATCTGAGGTCTGTCAAACTGCAAGGCAGTGTCGGGCCAAAGCTCAGTGTCCCTGACTCCCTGTCCAGGGCTCTTTCCCTTGCCTCCTGTGGCTTGTCCATAAAGTATGTCTAAATGAGCTCAAAGGCTATTCACAGGGGAGTAGACAGACCAACTGTCGCCTAAAACCCTGTATTCCACGGCCTGAGGCCTGCAATTAGGTCTCAGTACTCAAATGTGCCCCGTGACTAATCACAAACGCACCTATGGTATTGCAGTCCTTGGGTTATACTTCCTTGCACGAAACTAGGTGGGAATCACCTGCAGGACTTGTTACATGACACATTCCTGAGCAATCCCCAGAAGGACTGGACCTAATCCAACAGGTCTGGGTGGGGTCGGCTCATGTGAAGCTACTGACTGTCCTGGTGATTCCTCTGGTGCTACTGGTTAAGAGGTCACTCGCTTCTCACTCCAAGGCCAGACGTACCTCCTCTCTCCCCCATGATCAAAGTTCAAATGTCCTGGCAGCTTGGATGTGCATGTGCCTTGCCAGAGCTACTTTCATTTAAAGGAAGACACAGGAACTAGGCTGGAGAAACCTGGGCCAGATCATGGCCTGTGAAGCCAGTATGGCTGTGCACCTGGGCTGGAGGTTCTTAAGCACCCTGGAGTAAGCCAGCTGCGCAAGGGCTTTGACCTGAAGACTCATCCCCAGCTGACGGCTCATGGCAGAGATTAAAACATTTTCCTGAGGCCGGCGCAGTGGCTCATACCTGTAATCCCAGCATTTTGGGAGGCCGAGGCAGGCAGATCACAAGGTTAGGAGATCAAGACCATCCTGGCTAACATGGTGAAACCCCATCTCTACTAAAAATGCAAAAAATTAGCCGGGTGTGGTGGTGGGTGTTTATAGTCCCAGTTACTTGGGACGCTGAGGCCTGAGAATCGCTTGAACCCGGGAGGCGCAGGTGGCAGTGAGCCAAGATCACGCCACTGCACTCCAGCCTGGACAACAGAGTGAGACTCTGTCTTAAAAAAAAAAAAAATTTTTTTCCTGAGGCCAAGCATGGTGGCTCACACCGGTAATCCCAGTGCTTTGGGAGGCTGAGGTGGGCAGATCATGAGGTCAGGAGTTTTGAGACCAGCCTGGCCAACATGGTGAAACCCCATTTCTACTAAAAATATCAAAATTAGCAGGACACGGTGGCACATGCCTATAGTCCCAGCTACTTGGGAGGCTGAAGCAGGAGAATCACCTGAACCAGGAGGCAGAGGTTGGGGTGAGCCTAGAAAACAGAACTGCACTCTAGTCTGGGTGACAGAGCAAGACTCTCTCCCCCCTAAAAAATAAAAATAAAAACAATATTCTCCTGGAATCAGCAATGTTAAACATCTGGAAGATTGATCTTTACATAAATCTGACAATGGTTTCTTGATAACCGAAAGTATCTCCTGCCCCATAGTCCTTCCCAGATACTGATAATCATATCGCTTGTAGAAGATCCTTCTGCATTCTGCTGACAGTAAACACTGACCATCCTTACAGCTGATTTTTAATAAGCAAGTCCCACGGTTCCTCTTCCAGCAGCTAAAGGCTTCCCTGAAGGCAGCTTCCTGTGACTTGCTGAACTGCTATTTTTGTTTTGAGATGGAGTCTCACTCTGTCTTCTAGACTGGAGTGCAGTGGCACCATCTCAGTTCACTGCAAGCTCTGCCTCCGGGTTCAAATGATTCTCGTGCCTCAGCCTCCCAAGTAACTGGGACTATGGGCAGGCACTGCCATGCCCAGCTAATTTTTCTTTTTTCTTTTTTTTCTTTTTTCTTTTTTTAGTAGAGATGGGGTTTCATCATGTTGGTGAGGCAGGTCTTGAACTCCTGACCTCAGGTGAGCCGCTTGCCTCGGCCTCCCATAGCGTTGGGATTACAAGCATGAGCCACCACACCTGACCTAAACTGCTTTTTAAAGCAAATTATGGCCTGGTGTGGTGGCTCACACCTGTAATCCCAGCACTTTGGGAGGCTGAGGCAGGCAGATCACTTGAGGTCAGAAGTTCAAGACCAGCCTAACCAACATGGTGAAACTTCATCTCTACTAAAAATACAAAAAAATTAGCTGGGTGTGGCAGTGGACACCTGTAATCCCAGCCTGGAATCAAGAGGCTGAGGCAGGAGGATTGCTTGAACCTGGGAGGCAGAGGTTGCAGTGAGCCAAGATGGCACCACTGCATTCCACTCTGGGCAAGAGAGAGAGACACTCCATCTCTAACGAAGAGCAAATTATTTCTTCTTTTCTTTTTCCTGAACCACAGGTAAATAAGTGTAGGCTGGGCTTTGATATGGCTGAAAAAAAAAATGCAGCCACTTAAGCTTTAGCCTAAAGGGGGAAATGAATTTTACGTCCTTCCTCTGTATTCTTTCCTCTTAAGATCTGACATTGCAGGATACACGATATGCGGTGGTTTCTGTATCTCACCAAATAATCCTATTCATTCTTGCCCTAAATTTGTCCCAGGTTGAGTTTGTGTCAAAGCAGGAAACTGCTAATCCATACCAAGTGGCGAATACTCTCTTTCCAGAAGTGTCTTAATGCGAATGGATTTTTAGGCTCTTAATCACAGTGATTGTTATAAGCATGTTACTGGCAAAGCACGGTGCAGTAGAGTAAGTGACGGCAGAGCCAGCAGGCCCCTGAGCGCAGCCCACAGTTACCTGTCTGCAAGTACAGGTCCCCGCTCGTCCTGATGATCCAGGCTGTGTCATCGCTCAGGGCCACAAACACTGCCTGAGGCAGGGCTTCATACCAGTGCCGCTTCCCCTTGATGGTGACTTTCCCACAAGCAAAAGCCCGGTTAGATTTCTGTTCAATCTTCCAGAGCAGGGTTCCTATGGAAATAAAAATTCTATTCACTGTCCAATTAATACTAGAATATATTCCTACACAAAAGGCTTCATGCTGGGCATTGAGGGGAGAAAGGTTTCTAAAACGCATCCTGTCCTGTCCCCCCAAGTGGGGAAAGAGGCCATTAGACCCAGGTTTGGGCCCTTGGCCACCACTCAGGCTCCAAGTCTCTGCCCACCTCCTAGCTCCACTTTCCTCCTGGGCAAGCGGGATCATCTCCCCCAACAGGGCTGTGCTACAGACTGGCAGTAGGAGCAGACCGACCGCATGGCCACAGAGCTGGGCACATGGCACGTGCTCCTCACACGGGGGAGAAACACTGATGACATTATTAGGTTTGATAAGTCCCCAAATAAACGTCCTGAGACACAACCAGTGCTCTAGGAGAGGCTGAGCAAGTCCTTTAGGGATGCGAAGGGAGGGTCAGTTCTGGACAAGCCGAATGGAAAGGATTCACAGAAAGAACATGCTTGTGCTGAGTCAGCCTGTTTTCACTGCGAAGGGGACTCTGACGAAGAGACGAAGGAGGAGAGAGGAAAGGGAAGGCAGGACAGCCCTGCAGGTGGAGGCCTGGTGCAGGCCGACACAGGCAAGGTGAGGGGCTGCTGGCAACCACCGAGCGTCACCTGGGCTGGACCAGAGGGCCTGTTGGGCATCTTTGCCTGTGGTACCCCTGGCACAAGGGCTCTGCCACCCACCAAGGACATGGGCCTGAGCCCTGAAGGACACCTCAGCTGAACACGTGAACCTCGTGGAGACGGAGAGTTTCCACTAGCACAGTGAGGGACCACGGGGCCTGGGAATACAAGTAATGTAATCAGGAGTAGAACCCACATCCTAAAAGCTAAGGAGACAAATCTGACAGTAAATGACAGCAACAAGAAATGAGTTAAAATGCACAACTGTGTAATGCCAGCTTGTGGAGTGGGTTGTTAGCCAGTCTCTAAAGAAACATATTTTTAAACAAGCAGTGAAAGCAAGCAAGCAAAACAACGTGGAACAAACTAATATTTTAAACAGTGACAAAGACCAGGGAGATTTAAGGGAAATTCATGTCGAAACACAATGAAGTTACAGAGGACACACAGGTCCCAAGTCACAGACTCAACTTTGGCTTCGTCTGACTTCTATTCCAACATCCTGACAATAAACCGGGCTGGTTCAAGGCAAAAGCACCTCCCTGGCGGAGGTGCTGATGTGGCCAACACAACCTTAAGAAAAACAAGCAAATGATTCCACGCAGCTAAGGGAGGTCTTCCAGCCCAGGAGATTCTCGTTCAGGGAAACACTGGCTCCCACTCACCAGCAGTGACCTAACGGCAGCATGAAAGAATGAATGGACTTTCCTTTTAGAGTCAGGGAGTAGACTGTTTACCCAGAGCAGAGAGCTCATTAAAACAGAATTTCTAAAGAGGAAGCCAAATAATTGGAATATATCCAGCATATCCACAGGCCCGCCTTCGTGGTTCGGTTGCTTTAAAGCAACACTGACAAAGAGAAACATATTATTTTTATAAATAGTATGTTAATATCCCTAAAAAAATCCCTCAAATTTCAAACTTTCTGTCTAGCTTACTAGCTTACAAAAATATCATCAGATGTTACCATTGCAATTAATAAAACAAAAACTCAAACTGAACACCCATTTACACTGTGAATTGACATCCAATGAAGCAATTCACGTTCTTTGGAGGAAAGCCCGCCAAACCCTTTGGAAGAAGCAAACTTGGTGAATGCTCGGGGGAGCCCTGTGCTAAGATGTCTGCACCCAGGAATGGGGAGCGAGAACAGGGAGCGCGGGGGCAAACCTGAGGGCGAGACTGCCACCTGCTGGACAGCATCTTCGAACTTCTGCCAGCGCAGCCCAGCGCCCGGCAAGGCACTGCAGAACAGGCCGCCTTTGTAGTCCAGGCACCAGATATACTTCTCGGAGACCACCAAGCTGAGGATGCCATAGCCAGGACCCGAGTAGCCCATCCAGCTTTCTGCAAACTAACAAGGGCAGAGCCAGTGAAGTCTATGGCAGAGGACACAGCCACCCTTGGCTTACTGTTGTCAGTAAGAAAGGTGAGTGGGTATCATTAACATGAGACAGTAAAAGGGGCAGCAAGAAGCCAAGCCAACCCTCCCCTCAACCCCCGCTACCTTTGGACACCCCTCTACCACAAACGTTCTGAGACGTGGGCTGCTGTCTCCCTACAGAGACTCCCTGGCGTCCCTGGAAGACCCTTTCTCCTGTTCTAACACCTCTGTAACACTCAGAGCATCATATCACGTTACAAAGGAGCTGCTTTTATTCTGCAGGCACACCTCACCATACGCAAAGAGCCAGGTTCTTCAATATCTGCATGCAAGTCCATGTTCTATGGTCTAATCATTACAGATGCATTGAAGATGTGGCACTACCACTGTATGTTTTTTCTTTCTTTCTTTCTTTCTTTTTTTTCTTTTTTTTTTTTTTTTTTTCAGGCAGAGTTTCGCTCTTGTTACCCAGGCTGGAGTGCAATGGCGCGATCTTGGCTCACCGCAACCTCCGCCTCCTGGGTTCAGGCAATTCTCCAGCCTCAGCCTCCTGAGTAGCTGGGATTACAGGCACGAGCCACCATGCCCAGCTAATTTTTTGTATTTTTAGTAGAGACGGGGTTTCACCATGTTGACCAGGATGGTCTCGATCTCTCGACCTCATGATCCACCCGCCTCAGCCTCCCAAAGTGCTGGGATTACAGGCTTGAGCCACCGCGCCCGGCTTGTTTTTTCTTTCTTTTCTTTTCTTTTTTTTTTTTTGAGATAGAGTTTCACTCTTGTTGTCCGGGTTGGAATGCAACGGCATGATCTCAGCTCACTGCAACCTCTGCCTCCTGGGTTTGAGTGATTCTCCTGCCTCAGCCTCCCGAGTAGCTGGGATTACCAGCATGCACCACCACACCCAGCTAATTTTTGTATTTTTAGTAGAAACAGGGTTTCTCTATGTTGGTTAGGCTGGTCTTGAACTCCCGACCTCAGGTGATCCACCGGGCCTTGGCCTACCAAAGTGCTGGGATTACAGGCGTGAGCTGATGTGCCCCGCCTCTCTTTTTTTTTTTTTTTTTTTCTTTTTGAGATGGAGTCCTACTCTGTCACCCAGGCTGGATGGAGTACAGTGGCGCAATCTTGGCTGACTGCAATTCTCCCGCTTCAACCTCCCAAGTAGTTGGGATTATAGGTGTCCACCACCATGCCCAGCTAATTTTTGTTTTGTCGTTTTAGTAGCAATGGGGTTTTGCCATGTTGTCCAGGCTGGTCTCGAACTCCTGACCTGAGGTGATTCGTCCACCTCTGCCTCCCAAAGTGCTGGCATTATAGGCATGAGCCATTGCGCCCAGCCTTGCCAGGGTTCTTTTAAAAATCAAAACTAAATAAAGTCTTTAAAAAAGTTTTCAATAACTGCAAAGGAAATAAATGTATTTGTACAGATACCCACATAGAAGTTAAGTACTTCAAAGAGAATGGGGCCCAATTCTTCTCAATCTAGCCCTGCTTACCATGGCAAGCCTTACCTCCACCCCTCCACCCCCCAAAAATACACCATAAAATTTCTTGGCTTTCCAGCTACCTGGAGTGGGATGAGAAAGGGAGGAAGTTAGAGGGTTGGGGGCTCAAAGGGCCAGGGTCCCTGTCATCTAAGTAAGGGCTTTCCCGAATTTCTGGCCTAGAATTCCAATACCCGCCCCCACCCCCCCCCACACACAGGTAGTCTGCCTGGCGAACACCCAGTCATTAGGGGGCCACGCTGCTGGGGCTTCCCACAGCCCTGCACTTGGCTCAGCACCTTCACCTGAATCCCACTTAACTGTGAGGATGTGAACATGCATCTGGCTCCCCCTCAAGACTCTGAGGCTCAGGAAGATGGAATCCACAACTAGCTGCCATTTGCACTGTGGTCCCCAGCACAAACAAAGAGACTGACAGTCAAGGCCCCTCAGGAACCACCAGGTTGAAAACATAAATGGCAGATGACTGAATAAAAGGCCACCCTTGGCCGGGCACAGCAGCTCACACCTGTAATCCCAGCACTTTGGGAGGCTGAGGCGGGCAGAATGCTTGAGCTCCGGAGTTCACAACAAGTCTGGCCAATATGGCAAAACCCCTTCTCTTTAAAAAACACAAAAATTACCAGCCTGGGTGACAGAGTGAGACTTGGTCTCAGGAAAAAAAATACAAAGATTAGCTGGGCATGGTGGCACATGCCTGTACCCCAGTGACTCAGGAAGCTGGGATAGGAGAATCCCTTCGGCCTAGGGAGGTTGAGACTACAATGAGCCGTGACTGTGCCACTGCGCTCCATCCTGGGTGACAGAGTGAGACCCTGTTTCAAAAAAAAAAGCCTTTTGGCATTCTGTCTCAAAGCAAATAAGCAGCACATTTCACTTCTGAGGCATGACAGCACAGAGGATGAGTGAGGGGTCCTGCAGCCCGCCCTTCACCTGCTATATGACCTTGTGCAAGCTGTCCAGCTATTCTGTGCTTCAATTTCCTCCTCTGTCAAATGGGGACAACGAGAGTGCCTATTGCATAGTTCGTGTTTAAAGAAGTAAATGAGTTGAACCTGTAAAGTGCTTCACAGGATGCCTGCACATGGTAAGCACTGACCAAGGGTCACACTGTAGCACTGAGAGAATTCAGTGTACATGGTGGGGAACGCACGCAGCTGTAAATGCACAGCCATAATTCATACCTCACATCTACAGTCAGCAGGAGACGTGACAATACAGTTAGTTCTGAAACCAAATACATCTAATAATAATTACTTGCTAAGGAAAGTAGGTACTTTTAAAAAAATCACTTTTAATATAAAATGCTCAAGGACAATTAAAAATCATCTAATTACGTGCACTGGGTGGACCTACAAAGACTGGTTACTCCAAACCGCTTCCCGCAGCTTGCAGGGGAGCCCTGGGGTCATTGTCTGGAGGCTAAGGAGACAGAAGTTCTGGAAATGGCCGTGTTCCTGCAGGTGGTTCCTTGAAGAGGTCTGAGGAGGAGGATGGAAGAGTCCCTGCCTCCAAACTGCTCAGAGCTTTCTCTACTCTACGATGGCTAACAGTAAGTGCTTACTCCAGCCTGCGCTTGTGGGGTAAGAGGAAACAGCAAGATGCCACCTTGGTCGGGAGGCAGGTGACCGAGCAGGGTACAATAGGTCAGAAGTAGCTCAAGCCACTCACAGTCCCTGTGCTGGAAATCCCTTGAAACCCAGACTTGAACATGGCCTATGTAGGAATAGGATTTCTTTCCATAAGGAAAACAATCAGTCTTGCAAATTACTACCCTTAAGAAAGAGGCTTTATTTTTTTATTTTTATTTTTATTTTTGAGACGGAGTTTCGCTCGTTACCCAGGCTGGAGTGCAATGGCGCGATCTTGGCTCACCGCAACCTCCACCTCCTGGGTTCAGGCAATTCTCCTGCCTCAGCCTCCTGAGTAGCTGGGATTACAGGCATGCGTCACCATGCCCAGCTAATTTTTTGTATTTTTAGTAGAGACAGGGTTTCACCATGTTGACCAGGATGGTCTCGATCTCTTGACCTCGTGATCCACCTGCCTCGGCCTCCCAAAGTGCTGGGATTACAGGCGTGAGCCACTGCGCCCGGCCAATTTTTTGTATTTTTAGTAGAGACGGGGTTTCACCATGTTGACCAGGATGGTCTCAATCTCTTGGCCTCGTGATCCACCCACCTCGGCCTCCCAAAGTGCTGGGATTACAGGCTTGAGCCACCGCGCCCGGCCAGATAGAGGCTTTATTATACATTTCCCGCCATCTGAGCCCACATACCTGATCTGACTTGAGCAGCCCAGCATCATCTGCACCTGGCCGGCTCAGGTCCTGCTGGGAGCGACTAGGTCCAAGCTCTGTCACACTCGTCTCTGAGGATGAAGAAGGAAGCCCATGGGCATAGATGTCCTCCTCATCACTGGATGTCAATACCTGATCCCGTGGAAGCTGCTCAAGCCAAGGCTTGTGAGTGCTGGCCGCCAAGGCAGAGACTGGAGTCAACTGTCCTCCCACACTCACCAAGTCACGTTCAGAAACAGGTGTTTCTTTCTGATCTGTGTCATCATCAGTGACAGCATGCCAGAGATTTGCGCTGAGGTGGCCAGAGGCCCCCACGCTGGATAGGACATCCTGTTCTTGGCTGGACTCCACAGGACTGCCTTCATCAGCTCCGGTCCCAGGCAGCCACTGCTCAGTACTTGGGGCCCAGCTGAGGCTGGAAGGCACCATGAGTGAGTTCAGGAGGGGAGCTTCACAAAAAGTGCTTTGGGAGCCGAAAGGTTGGATGTCTTCCCCATCATGTGCCCCAGGAGAGCTGTCCAGTTCTTGGAAGGGGAACTGTGTGCTATTTTGTTCATCGCCTGCAAGACAAGGCTCATCTTCAAGTCCTGTGACATCGTTGCCTCCCACATCTCCCGGGAGCAAGGGTGAATTTGACACTCCATTGAGCAGCTCCCGCCCATGTGTGTGGTGACAGTGTGGCATTTCCATTCTAATGGCATCTTCCTCAGCCAGTGAATCAGGCACAGATTCTGACACCTCCAGGATATTAAACGTTTTGGAGTCAGTATTTTCCCGCAGGACACCGTTCACCTCACCACTGAAGCCGATTTCCTGGTCCGGAGACTCTGCACTTAACTGATCCACGCTACTGCCCAGGACACTTGAGGTCATGGACAACAAGGACTGGGGACTGTCCCCAGGAAACTCGGAGCAGGGCGTCGATTCCAGGGAGCTGTGACAGGTGCTCCTGCTTCCACCTTCTAATTCAGAATAAGAACATTCAAAATAAGGCACAGTTCTACATGAAGAGTAAGAGACTACTTCGCAAACCTATTTTTGGCTCAAGAAAAAAATATTTTAAATAAAGGATATTTAGTGAATGAAGAAAAAACCTCTTAAGTACAAATAATCCCAACAACGAGATGCTTTCTATGCATGCAAGTACTGTACACACCCATGGGTTTGAGGCCTCATTCAAGAAATACCAGCTAAGAAAAACCAGGGGACAAACTGAGATGTTCGCCTGGGTCACAAGGCAATTCCTTATAACTATTAAAATGTTTAAATATCTAACAACATTTCCTTCAATATTGCAGTCATCTTTTTTTTGAAATGGAGTCTTGCTCTGTCACCCAGGCTGGAGTGCCGTGGTGTGATCTCAGCTCACTGCAACCTCCACCTCCCAGGTTCAAGTGATTCTCCTGCCTCAGCCTCCCGAGTAGCTGGGACTACAGGCGTGCACCACCACACCCAGCTAGTTTTTTTGTATTTTAGTAGAATTGGGGTTTCATCATGTTGGCCAGGATGGTCTTGATCTCCTGACCTCGTGATCCACCCACCTCAGCCTCCCAAAGTGCTGGGATTATAGAGGTAAGCCACTGCGCCCGGCCTGTAGTCATCTTTACCTAAAGAGGATCAACAGGCACCAAGGAGTAAGAGGTTTTGAAAAATTCAGCGTTACATAGCCATAACAAAGAATGAAATCCAGGCCAAGCACGGTGGCTTACGCCTGTAATCCCAGCACTCTGGGAGGCCAAGGTGGGTGGATCACCTGAGGTCAGGAGTTCAAGACCAGCCTGGCCAATATGGTGAAACCCCATTTCCACTAAAAATACAAAAAATTAGCTGGGCATGGTGGCGGGCACCTGTAATCCCAGCTACTCAAGAAGCTGAGGCAGGAGAATCGCTTGAACCTGGGAGGTGGAGGTTGCAGTGAGCTGAGATCATGCCACTGCACTCCAGCCTGGGCAACAACAGTGAAACTCTGTCTCAAAAAATAAATAAATTAATAAAAATAAAGAATAAAATCCTGTCCTTTATAGCAACATGGATGGAACCACAGGCCATAATCCTAAACAATTAATGCAGAAACAGAAAATCAAATACTGCATGTTCTGACTTAGAAGTGGGAGCCAAACACTGAGGACACATGGACATAAACATGGGAACAGCAGACAATGTGAACTACCAGAGCAGGAGAGGAGGAGGAGGCATGGCCAAACCACCAGCTACTGGGTATACTGTGCTCGCTGGGTGCTGTGTACCCATGTAACAAACCTGTGCATGAAGCCCCTGTATTTAAAATAAATGTTGAAAAAAAGAAAGAAAAATATTCCATGTTAAATCTCGTATTTGGCACCATATCCAACACTAAATATAAAATGTCCCAACTATTTACCAGCACAGATCTTCCTGTTTCCATGACTTTCCACCCAGGCTCACAGAATCTCTGGTTTAATCAATGGTATACATGGACAAGCCAACATTTTAAGTTAAATATTGAAAAGCACAATACCAAGATCCTTTAAACAGGGTGGCGAGTACACAGGCATCTGTCCTTCATCATTTAGACCTCACAGTGTGTGTGTGTATTTTCTGTTAATGTGTGAAGTATTTTGCAGTAAAGCTCCTTTGGGGAAGAAATGTGTGTGTTCTTTGCTTTTGGATGAATGGGCCAGTGCTCACTCAGTGAGCAGTGGCATTCTCAGAGAATCTGGAAAGACTGCCCCCAGGTGGGTATCTGCCAGCTACAGAGGGTACCTGTCTTCTTCTTCTTCTTCTTCCTTTTCACTTTGATAGGCTTCACGACAAGCTCCTGGTCAAAGTCCTCTGAGCTGATGGTGTTGAATCTCTGCGAGGGAGGCTGGCTGCTCTTGCCCAGCTCAGGGGCGGCCTGGAGCCCAGGGGGCAGGAGCCCAGAGCCACTGTCGGTAGAGTTGAGTGAGCTGCTCCTGCTCCTTGGCTCACTGGCCACGGAGCTGGCCACGGAAGAGCCTCTGAGCCTCGTCTCAGAAATGGTGGTCCCTGGCAGCTTCTCTGCTTGCTGCACGTGGACTTGCTCTGAGCATCCGGACACCTCCAAACCATCTCTCGCTGAGAAAGAAGAGTCTGGTTTTACCACTGATTATCTGAGAGAGCTGATGTGCACTTAACCAGGTCGGGGCACCCTAAATATCGGTTGTCACAGAGCCGCCAGCTGGCTAAAGAACTGAACGATTCTAAATTCACAGAAACCAGCAAAACTGAAAGAATCACACAAAGGAGTCTAAGAAATAGTTTTTGTTCTCCAAGAAGCTCATATATTAAAATCAGTAAAATAATTTGCCATAGTTGCATTTTTAAAGCAACTCAATAGTAAGGACAGGTTGGGTATGGTGGCTCACACCTATAATCTCAACACTTTGGGAAGCCGAGGTGGCGAGATCACTTGAGCTCAGGAGTTCAAGACCAGCCTAGGCAACATGGCGAAAACCTGTCTCTAGCAAAACACAAAAAATTAGCAGGGTGTTGTGATGCATGCCTGTAGTCCCAGCTACTCAGGAGGCTGAGAATCATTTGAGCTTGGGAGGTGGAGGTTGCAGGGAGCTGAGATGATGCCACTGCACTCCAGCCTGTGAGACAGAGTGAGACCTGTCTCAAAAAAAAAAAAAAAAAAAAAAAAAAAAGTAGAAAAATACCACTAAGAATACAGCATTTCTCACTTAGATTTACAAATTCTTTATAAATGAGAGATGCTTGTGTATAACAAAACAGCTTAATTATGCTTCATACTTAAGACTATGCCTTGAATATACTTTAATATTATTCAACGAGCATTTGAAAAATATATGTGTACCTATAATTACATTTCTTGAAATGGAAAGAGGGAAAGGTAATTTTCCATCAGAACAAACTCAAGACAGAGAAGTCCATTACTACACAGTCAGCATCAAGGCAAGTAGACAGCAAAGTGAGGAGGAGGCATGAGTCCCTGTCCCCTGTCCTGACACAAAGGGCCAGTGAGCTTCCCACTGCAGTGGAGTCATCCTTCCTGCAACATGACACCACAGGGCACAAGACCAGAGCAGTCCCAGCTGCAGCACCCTCAACACAAGACTGCAGCGCACTTTGATCCATTCGCCAACCTCTCATTATCAGGGATCCTCTGAGAGCCAGACACAGGGCTGGCTGCTGGGATACGGCAGTCCATGAGACACAGGAATTCCTGCCCTTGAAGCACCCCCATTCTACTGAGGGCATGTGTTAGGGGCAGACTGTAGCCTATGGAGTGCGCACTGGAAACTGGAGGGGCAGACTCTGCTCTGAAGCAACTTGTTGACGATTACACAAGTTAAAGGTGGATCTTGCCTAGAGCTGCCCAGTCCAACAGGCAGCCACCAGCCACTTGTAACTATTTAAATTCAAATTGATCAAAATTAAACAAAATTTAGGCCGGGCGCAGTGGCTTATGTCTGTAATCCCAGTACTTTGGGAGGCTGAGGTGGGCGGATTGTCTGAGCTCAGGAGTTTGAATCCAGCCTGGTCAACATGGTAAAACCCCATCTCTACTACAACACACAAAATTAGCTGGGCGTGGTGATGCACACCTGTAATTCCAGCTACTCAGGAGGCTAAGGCAGGAAAATCACTTGAACCTTGAGGGTGGAGGCTGCAGTGAGCAGAGACTGCTCCACTGCACTCCAGCCTGGGATACAGAGCAAGACTTCATCTCAAAAAAAAAAAAAAAAAAAAAAATTAAACAAAATTTAAAATGCATCCCTCAGCTGTACTTCCCATACTGGAAGTACTCAGCAGCCACACATGGATAGTGCCTGCCTACCAGACAGGGCAGATGAGAGCATTTCATCACTGCAGAAAGCTCTGTGGGCAGCAAAGGCCTAGAGCTTAGTGGCTCCAAGTCACCACGCTTCCTGAAAGCCATGCTGCCCCTTTGATTATACTGTCTGAGGGGCCCCCAGCTCATAAACTCAAGAGTCAGAGCTCATTTACTTCTTATACAAATTATGTTTTGGATATTCACCCCAGCTTGCCCTCTCTGACTTCAGAGGCAATGGCAGTGAGGAGGAGGGTGATGGGTCTACATGGCTGCTGCTGCCAGCATTAGGAACAAGTTCCCCAAGGAACCCAAATATATAAAGCATGTGGATGTCTGCACAAGGACACATACTAGGATTCTTTGCTCATTAAAATTTGGGCTTTTATGAATTACCAAAAAATGTCAAAAGCACAGAGAAAAATCATGCTACCAGGAAGAACTGAGCTCAGGGTAAACGGCATGTCCCAGATGCCAGATTTAAATCTTCTAAAATCTTATGCAAATCTATGTCTTTTGGAGCATTAATCCCACATACTGTCGCAGACGGAGATCAGGGATCCGTAAAGTGGTTTCTGAATTTTCCTTCCTCCTTTCTCAATCTCCCCATCTTCCACAACCACGAAAGCAACTCCATCAAATGTGAGACTATCTGATGTAAGCCTTAAAGTAGGTAACTTTCAAGAAATGTACTGTAAACATTATTTTAAGAATCAGTGAAAACCCTCCAAATCCTCCATGTTTAAATAAAGTTGCAACAGTTTAGCAAAATAATAGTAAGTTTTTGGTTTTGTTTTGGAGATGGGGTCTCACTCTGTCACCCAGGTTGGAGCGCAGTGGTGCGATCTTGGCTCACGGTAACCTCTGCCTCCAGGCTCAAGCAATCCACCACCTCAGCCTCCTGAGTAGCTGGGACCATAGACACACGCTCCCAGGCCCAGCTAACTTTTTGTATTTTTGGTAGAGACAGGGTTTCACCATGTTGCCCAGGCTGGTCTTGAACTCCTGAGGTTAAGTGATCCACCCACCTCAGCCTCTGAAAGTGCTGGGATTACAGGAGTGAGCCACTGTGCCTGGCCCAATAGTAAGTTTGATTAGTTATTAACCACAATTACAAACAACAAAGTATAGTACTTCCCATCATACACATGGCACATTTCATAATAAATACAAACCTATTGATGTTAGTCCTTCAGGCCTGCTTGAAATTCTTATAATATTCCTATCTCCTTTCAAGAAAAATATTTCATTTTCTGTGCATGAAACAGACACAATATCACCGGATCCTTCCAAACCAGCAATTGTGGCCTGTCCAAAAAAAAAAAAAAAAAAAAAATCACAAAACTAAACAATGGTAACAGCTCAAAGCATAAAAATGCCTGTGAGAGAGTCCAAATCAGTCAAATGATAACTGCACTTTACTATGGCAACTTTCTGAAAACTCCTAGAATAATTCAATCCAAAGTTAGGTAACATCTGACAGATTGGTAAGCGGGATCTGAGGCATCCCCTGGCAGTGTGGGGCCTCAGTCATCTCTGACCCACATGCCACCCTGCCTTTGTCCCTGCTGCAAGTGCACCAGCCCTGTTCCTCCATGGCTCATGCGTCTGGCATGTGTTTTTCTTTCTGCTCAAATTCCTTTCCTGTCCCTGTTCGCTGGGGAGTTCTAGCTCTCTCCAGATGCCACCTCCACGGGAAGCAGCCTCTGACACGCTCGCCTCTGCTGCAATGCCCAGGGCTCTCAGAGTTCACAGCACCTCATCCAAACCTTCGCTTGGTGCCCCATTCCTGGACTGTAATAACGTGCTGATACATCTGGGTCCCCCTGCGGTGTGCACTCCTGCAGGAGAGGCCAGTGTGCACCGCAACTCATGGGTTTCAAATGAATACGTGAAGGGAAGGGAGTCCCTCCAGCATTATCTGAAAGCGGGTGGCAACACAACACAGGACATCCCAAGCCCACATTGACTTAGAGGAAGTCTTTGCTTTGCAGTAAACAGTGCAAATAAGAGACTAGTCTGTTGTAGAAAGTAAGGAGAGTCTACGTTCTTTGCTAATTTTAAATAACTGATGGACAGCTGCAATATAACATTTGTTTCTGAAAGCTGCCAGTCACCCTGTCACTGGATGGTCTAGACTCTAAGGGTGACTGCGACATCTGTCCCAGACGGTCCCCTGTCTCCATTTCTCCGCCTATAAAATGAAGTTAATTATACCTACTGGGTAAGTGCTCAGATGAAAAAAACCAAAGCATCTTGATGCTACTAATTAATAAGCACACATAAGTTCAAAAGGCACCCAGGGAAAGAAGTTCTCTGTAACTGAGGAAAGGGTGCAAAGATACCTTTCAAAACATCCCTTATAAAAGAAACAAACTCAAGGCTAAAAGGCACCTTGGTGATCCCTCTAGTCGATGCTTCTTCTACCCACTCCCCATTTTACAGGAAAGGAAATCAGGCTCAGGCTGATAAAAGACTCCTGGTTAAAGGCAGAACCAGGCTACAAGAGTCGAATCTAGTTCTGCCCTGTGCCCTCCCAGGCCAGTTTTCTTTCTGCCAAACCAGTATTACCAGGCATGGCTGATAATAATTAAGAAGGCTTCAATAAGGAGAAGATGAACTTCATTTTCTGCTGACACACACCACATAAGAAAACCATTTCTTGTCTTTTTATTTTTGAGGTCGAGTCTCACTCTGTCTCCCAGGCTGGAGTGCAGTGGCGTGATCTCGGCTCACTGCAACCTCTGCCTCCCAGGTTCATCATACAATTCTCCCTGCTTCAGTCTCCCGAGTATCTGGGACTATAGGCACATGCCACCAAGCTTGGCTAATTTTTGTAATTTTTAATAGAGATGGGGTTTTGCCATGTTGGCCAGGTTGGTCTTGAACTCCTGACCTCAGGTGATCCACATGGCTCAGCCTCCCAAAGTGCTGAGATTACAGGCATGAGCCATGCCTGACTGAAAATTCTTTCTTTTCTTTTTTTTTTTTTTTTTTTTGAGACGGAGTTTCGCTCTTGTTACCCAGGCTGGAGTGCAATGGCGCGATCTCGGCTCACCGCAACCTCTGCCTCCTGGGTTCAGGCAATTCTCCTGCCTCAGCCTCCTGAGTAGCTGGGATTACAGGCACGCACCACCATGCCCAGCTAATTTTTTTGTATTTTTAGTAGAGACGGGGTTTCACTATGTTGACCAGGATGGTCTCAATCTCTTGACCTCGTGATCCACCCACCTTGGCCTCCCAAAGTGCTGGGATTACAGGCTTGAGCCACCGAGCCCGGCCAAATTCTTTGTTTTCTATAGTGAGGCTCTGCTTGTAAGAGAATGGGCTGTCTGTCATCTGTCAGAGGCCTGCTGAGCTCAGAACGGAGGAATGTGAATAGGACAGGGCCTGGTCTGAGTCTGGGGGTGAGGAGCTGAGAGGGTGAAGCAGGGAGATTTTTTTTTTCTCTCTTTCTCTTTTTTCCCCCAGGTTATAACCCAGTACCCATATAGGGAGATTATTTTAAAAAGAGCAAGAGCTCTGCTCTTAAGACAAGGAGAAACTGCATCTAAATAACTTTGTTTAAAATTCCAAAATCTGTCTCTAATGATAATCTGTTATCATCTTGATTTAAGCAGAAATTGTTTCCTACCATGGGTTTAATGATGTTAGAAATTTGCCCAAGATATGTTGCTAAGTAAAGAAAACAGAATAAAAAACAAAAAACAAAAAACAAACAAACAAGTGGCAAAATGATGTGGCTCCGTTTGAGTAAGAAGACAGGGGTACAACAACAGGACTGAAAGGGCGCGGAGGGAAGGCCCTCCTCAGGGACTGAAATTCTCTGCTACTGTTTCTGGTTTTGGTTTGTCTGTTTTTGAGATAGAGTTTCACTCTGCCACCCAGGCTGGAGTTGCAATCTTGGCTCACTGAGCCCGGCCTCTGCTACTGCTTCTGTCATATTTGAGTTATCACTGTATGTGCTCATAGTAATTTGGTAGTCAGAAAAAACATGACCCAAATAGATTATAAAGAACAAGACCAGGCTAGGCACAGTGGCTCATGCCTGTAATCCTAGCTACTCAGGAGGCTGAGGCAGGAGAATTGCTTGGACCTGAGAGGCGAGGCAGGGGTTGTAGTGAGCCGAGATCATGGGATTGCACCCCAGCCTGGACAACAAGAGTGAAACTCCGTCTCAAAAAACCCCAAAAAACAAAAAACAAGGCCAGGCACGATGACTCACGCCTGTAATCCCAGCACTTTGGGAGGCTGAGGCAGGTGGATCACTTGAGGTCAGGAGTTCGAGATCAGCCTGGTCAACATGGTGAAACCGTGTCTCTACTAAAAATACAAAAAAATTAGCCAGGCATGGTGGCACGTGCCTATTAATTCCAGCTACTTGGGAAGCTGAGGCAGAAGAATCACTTGAACTCAGGAAGCAAAGGTTGCAGTGAGCCGAGATCGTGCCACTGTACTCCAGCCTGGGTGACAGAGGAGGACACAGTTCTCCCCACAAAAAGAACAAGTTTAATTTTGTGCTTACATACAAAAAACATACATAATTTCTGGGCAGATAACTGGACCTAAATGTCAAAACCAAAATTTTTTTCAAATCTATAAAAATTACCAAACCTTCATTTGATTTCCTTGACTGGCCCAAAGGAAAAGTAAAGTGTAAATCAATACTGCTCCTTTCAGCATTCTTAGAGCCCTGAGCAGAACTGTCTATAGAGAAACTTTCTCTTGCCTACCGACACCAAAGATATGGCAGCATCCCTTCACTTACCTGGTTGACTGTGTCTAGGAGATAGATACTATATTCATTCCAACTCAACACCCAGCCTTCTTGAAAGAAACAGGAAATAAGCCCCAGGTGCCTCTCAGGTAAGCTGCAACTTCCCCTGTTGGGGGATTCCAGACGCGGGTGCAGTTCAAAAGGCTTGACTTCCCCGGCAAAAGCATCTTTTAGGATAAATGTGGCTTGAACAGTTCCGTGGACATCAGCCTTCCATAGTCGGAGCCCAGGCCGTGATGCATACAAGGTTAGATCACTTTGCTTACAGAGTCCTGGTATAAAACAAGCACCAAATTTCCCAGTACTAAAATCAGAAGAAAGAAAGAACAAAAGACAGACATGGACAGATTTAAAGTAATGCAGTTGTCAACCCCTATTACTAAGTACAACAAGAATTTTTGGCTAAGAAAATAATTAATTTTTCACTCTTTCTACTGTGTGTTTTTTTTGGCAGTTAAACCACACTGTCATCCCTGTATCCACTAGAGGCTCTACCATACCAGCAGGTGTGTGCCCCATTAGCACACAGGGACTCATTCACTGAGTATCCACATAGCTTGCACCACACCTAGCACTTGACCCAGTCTCATGTCTAATCCTCACAACAACCACGTGTGGCAGATATAGTCACGCACCACATAACATTTTAGTCAGGCTGGGTACAATGGCTCATGCCTGTAATCCCAGCACTTTGGGAGGCCAAGGCGGGTAGATCACCCAAGGTCAGGAGTTCGAGACCAGCCTGGCCAACATGTGAAATCCCTCCTCTACTAAAAATACAAAAATTGGCCGGGCGCGGTGGCTCAAGCCTGTAATCCCAGCACTTTGGGAGGCCAAGGCGGGTGGATCACGAGGTCAAGAGATCGAGACCATCCTGGTCAACATGGTGAAACCCCGTCTCTACTAAAGATACAAAAATTAGCTGGGCATGGTGGCGCACGCCTGTAGTCCCAGCTACTAGGGAGGCTGAGGCAGGAGAATTGCTTGAACCCAGGGGGCGGAGGTTGCGGTGAGCCGAGATCGTGCCATTGCACTCCAGCCTGGGTAACAAGAGTGAAACCCCGTCTCAAAAAAAAAAAAAATACAAAAATTAGCTGGGCATGGTGGCACATGCCTATAATCCCAGCTACTTGGGAGGCTGAGGCAGGAGAATTGCTTGAACCTAGGAGGTGGAGGTTGCAGTGAGCTGAGATCATGTCATTGCACTCCTGTATGGGTGACAGAGCAAGACAAGACGCTGTTTCAAAAACAACAACAACAACAAATCATTTTAGTCAATGATGGACTGCAAACACAACAGTGGTCCCATAAGATTATAATACCATATTCTTATGGTAGCTTTTCTATGTTTAGACACACAAATACTTAACTTTGTGCTACAGCTGCCTAAAGTATTCAGTACAGTCACACGTGGTGCAGGTCTGTAGTCCAGAAACAACATGCTGCACCATTTCGCCCAGGTGTGGAGTAGGCTGAACCTACCACCTAGGCCTGTCAGTACACACCATGCTGTTCACACAACGAAGACATCACCTGACAATGCATTTCTCAGAGCATATCCCTGTTGCTAAGGGACACATGACTGTATCACAACTCCCATTTTGGAGGAGAGGAAACTGAGGCAGAAGGTGAAGAATCCAGGTCTGCTCATCCGGTCCCTGCTCTGATTCTGTTGCTTTTGACATCTGATTGCTGTGCTCGCCCCACATCCTGAATAAATGAGCTTCACAGCAACCCATCTATATTGCTGCCCTTTCAGAATTTCTCGAAACCCATCAGAGGCACCAATGTCCCTTCCTGTCCCCAAGCTTGATATTTTTTCTTTCTGAAATTATGAAATATGAGTACACAAACAAAAGAATATGCTGTATATATAGTCGTGGATCACTTAGTGATTGGGGACGTTCTGAGAAATATGTCATTAGGCCATGTCTTTACTTGTGTGGACATCATAGAGTGTACTTACACAAACCTAGATGGCACAGCCTATGACACTCCCATACAGTCTAGCCCAGAGGCGTCCAATCTTTTGGCTTTCCTGGGCCACACTGGAAGAAGAATTGTCTTGGCCCCATATAAAATACACTAACAATAGCTGCTGAGCAAAAAAAAAAAAAAAAAAAAAAAAAAAAAAAAAAAAAAAAAAAAAAAATCACATAAAATTATTTATTTATTTATTATATATATTTTTTGAGACAGAGTTTTGCTCTTGTTGCCCAGGCTGGAGTGCAATGGAGTGATCTGGGCTACTGCAGCCTGATTCCAGGTTCAAGCAATTCTCTTGCCTCAGCCTCCTAAGTAGCTGGGATTACAGGCGCGCACCACAAGGCCCTGCTAATTTTGTATCTTTAGCAGAGATAGGGTTTTACCATGTTAGTCAGGGTGATCTTGAACTCCTGACCTCAAGTGATCCACCCACCTCGGCCTCCTAAAGTGCTGGGATAACAGCCATGAGCCACCACACCAAAACACGGCCAAAAAGTCTCATGTTTTAAGAAAGTTTACAAAGTTTTGTTGGGCCATGGGTTGGACAAGCTTAGTCTAGCCTACCGCCCCTGGGCTGCAAACCTGTACTGCATGTGACTGTCCTTAACACTCCAGGCAGCTGTAACACAATGATGAGTGTTTGCATATCTAAACACAGAAAACATAACGTTTTAGATATATCTTAGCGCCTTCCTGACGCTAAGACACCAGGTGATAGGAATCTTTTCAGCTCCATTTTAGTCTTCTGCAACCATCGTCATACAGGCAGTCCATCACCGACTGAAATGTCGTTATGCAGGGCATAACTGTGTACATGTACATAGATGCATGCAGTTATGAAGCCTAGCAATGAAAGGTACACCTGAGAACCCATCCCTGAACTTAGGAAATAAGTCATCGGTCACCCAGCCAAGGGCCTCATTGTGCTTCTAATACTTCCTGTCCCTTGTGCCCCAGACGGAACCACTGGACTGCATTTTGCCTTTATCATTTCCTCGCTTGTATTGTTGGTTTAATCACGTATCTATGTATTGCTAAATACAAGATAATTTAGTATTATCTTTCATTTTTATTAAAATGTATGACACTGTATACTTTTGCAACTTGCTTTTTTTCACTTATGTTTCTCAGATTTCTCCTTGTTGATAAAAAGAAGCTATCGAGCTCATTCATTTCTACTGCTGTATGGTACAGTAAGTCCTCACTCAGCATCCACAGGTTCTTGGAAACAACAACTGTAAGCGAAATGACATACAGCAGGTCCTCAGACAACATCATTTCCTTCAACAATGCTGGTGAGGAAAAAACACTGGTTTTGTTATATGCTGTTTTGCTAAAGCTGCAGGTTCCAAGAACCTATCAATGACATTAAGTGAGGACTTAATGTATTCAACAATTTATTCACTTTATTATTGATGGATATTTCAATTATTAATCTTTTAAAAATTATTTTGAACAATTGTGCTATGAGCATTTCTGTACATAGCCCCCTAGCCCACATGTGTCAGAGTCTGTCAAGGACATTCAGGAATGGAATTGGTGGGCTGGGGAGTAATTTCTGGGTTGCTGAGAGCATATTCAAGTTTAGAAGACAACTTCAAGTTTTTTTTCTTTTTTCTTTTTCTTTTTTTTTTTTTTTTGGTCTTGTTGTCCAGGCTGGAGTGCAATGGCACGATCTCAGCTCAATGAAACCACTGCCTCCCGGGTTCAACCAATTCTCCTGCCTCAGCCTCCTGAGTAGCTGGTATTACAAGCGCATTCCCACCATGCCTGGCTAATTTTTGTATTTTTAGTAGAGATGAGGTTTTGCCATGTTGGTCAGGCTAGTCTCACACTCCTGACCGCAGGTGATCGCGTGCTTCAGCCTCCCAAAGTGCTGAGATTACAGGCATGAGCCACCACGCCCAACCTGACAACTTCAAGCTTTTAAAATATGATTCTACCAATCTGAACTCCCACTGGCAATCTGAGTTCTCGTATTTCTCAGGCTTCTACCACACAGTTCAAATGTAAGCATTTCAGTTCAGCCCTACACCTGGCTGATTACTTTCCCCAAATACTTCTCGAATTGTGAACAGCAGAAAGAGGACTGGTTTTAACAAGCCCTGGGCTCAATGTCCAGCCCTGACACTTAGTGGGTACACGGTCTATGCATTTATTGAACTTCTCTGGACCCGTTTCCCACACGTAAACCAGGCAGAGTGACTCCCATCTCAAAGGCTGAAGTGAGGAATGAATGAGATAACCTACGTGAAGCACAGAAGCAATGCTTGTGACACTAAGTCCCCACAAATGTTCAGCTGTCCGAATGAGGCTACAAGCAGCTCACAGTTGAGAGCTGCCTCCGTGCCACTGCTTCCCCACTAGACCTTGTCCAACTTGAGCTGTGCCTCTTCCCATGCTCCCTGCACACAGCAGCACACCCAGCCACAGAGGCCGCCCAGGGCCCACCCACACAGGCACACAGAGAGTTATTTTTTTGCAGGGATTTTCCACACACCAGAATCTCACAGGTCCCTCTGGTACTGCTAGTAACTAAATCCCTTTGGATAGGGTCCAAGGAGGATATCATATATCAAATTTAGCTTTGAAATAATGATCATTAGGATTAACCAAGGGTGTTTTGACACCGTGGATCTTTCATGGACAATTCTGTAAACAGCATCGTATCTGATTTCTGCCTTTGGTGGGTTTATTCTGGAGAGGTCCTCTAAAGAGAGCAACCCAGAGGAATTCTGGCAAGGCAGCCCAAAACCTCTTCCTCCTTGCCTTTCCTGTCAAATCAATTTCTCTTGGCGATCCAATTTTTAAATGTTTTCCTTCTATTTATAGGGCCCTTGAAAAATCCCTTGTCATTTCCATTTTGACTGGTTCATCTTATGTAACTAAAGCACTCATGTTAACAAACATTTAGTGATTCCTACATCCTGTAAGACACAGTGTTTGGTGCTGTGGGTAAAATGAAGAATAAATAAGATGAGGTCCTCAGCCTGTCTCACAACACCACGGCTGACCCACCCGAGCAATTACAGCAGCATCTGAAAGCACCACATCTGAGGCTCAAAGAGCTGCTCAAGGAGCTCAGATCAAGGTGGTACATCTGAGTTGGCACAAGAAGGGGAGGTCCTCAACACCGAGCAGACTCTTGCCCCTGGAAGGAGAGGGGAAAGGAGCCCTGCTGAGCACAGTCCTGAGAGTGGCTGGCTCTAAAACTGCTGAATAGCTGGGCATGGTGGCTCACGCCTGTAATCCCAGCAATTCTGGAGGCCAAGGAGGGAGAACTGCTTGAGCCCAGGAGTTTGAGAACAGCCTTGGTGA